CCGCTTACCGTCCTCGTCCTACGTGGCGCTTCTGTTACCGGCGATATCCCGTACTCCCTCGGAAATGCTTATGGATTGACGGTTTTGTCCCTGGCTGGAAATTCTATTACTGGGAATTTACCTCCGACGCTGGGGCAGCTTGGGAACCTCACTGTTCTAGATCTTTCTGGAAACTCGGTCTCGGGTTCGATTCCGGAGTCCGTTACTTTGCTCGGTAAGCTGAACGTTCTTGACTTGTCGTCCAATTTTGTCACGGGCGGAGTACCGGAATCTATTGGTAGTCTTCAGTTGCTGAAAACCCTAAACCTTTCTAATAATAGCATTAGTGGCTCGATTCGCTCGATTCCGGTTACTGTTGGCAATCTTACCTCTTTGAGTTTGTTAGATTTGAGTTTGAATTCGATGCTTGGGAGTGTACCTGACTTGGGCAAATTGAAAGGACTGCAATTGGTTACGTTGAATGGGAATACGTTTTCGGGGAGGTTACCGAATTCGCTGTGGTCGCTGCAAAACCTGCGGTTTCTTGATTTGTCGAGCAATAATTTCACCGGGGAGTTTCCTGATGCAGTTCCAGCCAATGCTGATGCTAATGGTACTACGTTCAATTTGTCGGACAATTTCTATTACGGGGCGATACCTTCTGGGTTTTCAAAATTCATTTTTGCGAGGTTTAGTGTGGTTGATCTTTCAAATAATTATTTCCAAGGGCTAGTTCCGGTGGATAGTGGCGACAAGAATGCTTCTTTGCGTTTGAATTGTTTCAAAAATGCTTCGCAGCAGAGGAGTTCGATGAATTGCCAGGTGTTCTATTCGCAGAGAGGGTTAGCATATGATGGGCGTTTGAGTCCTGCTCCTTCCCCTTTGCCTTCTAGCCCGTCGTCGCACAAGAAGAGCAACTGGAAGTGGATAGTTATAGGAGTGGTTGGTGGAGTTTTTTTGCTTGTTCTTGTGATTATTGCTCTTGTGCTGTGTATTATGAAATGTAGAGGTGGAGCTCAAGATATTGAGCAAAGGGATACAAGTCCAAATGCTACTTCCACTGGAGCAGTTGCTCAGGATCCGGCTTCTAGGGTTTCACCTTCTGGGGGTTTTCCGTCTGGGTTTTCAGTCAATTTGACATCTGTTGGAGATTCATTCACATTTGAGCAATTGGTTAGGGCAACGGCAGAATTCAGTGATACGAATTTTATTAGACATGGACATTCTGGAGATTTCTATTATGGTGTCTTTGAAGGTGGGATTCCGGTGGTAGTGAAGAGGATCAATCTAGAAACTGTGAAGAAGAATGGGTATGCTGTGGAATTAGAAGTATTTAGTAAGGTTTCGCATGGCAGGATCGTTCCATTTTTGGGGCACTGTTTAGATCAGGAGAATGAAAAGTTTCTTGTTTACAAGTATATGACTCATGGTGATTTGTCAAATGCATTGTATATAAAGTCGGCACAGGAAGAGGAGGGGTTGCAGTCATTGGATTGGATTACGAGGTTGAAGATTGCCATAGGAGTGGCTGAGGCTCTTTGTTATCTTCACCATGAGTGTATGCCGCCACTGGTTCACAGGTAAGTTTTTCCGATTCCACTACATGTGATATTGTTACTTGATTTTAGTAAATACCCAATAACATTAGTATGTTGCTACCATAAACACATATCCATAGTAAGGACTGTACTTAAAATAGTAAACAAATGTTTTCTGACATCTCAATGCTTGGGTGCTGTTTTGGTTAAACAACATGAAGTATCTAATATGGTTAAATAACATGAAGTGTGTGATAATTAACACCTACACTTGGTGTTGTGAAAAACAAAATGTTATGTGAGCTTACGTAATGTAATAAAAGGTGGTAAAACTATTTGTGTTATTAAATATACCACTATATAGTTTTTGATGCTCGCTGCCTACGTACATTTGCTTCTATGGTCTATACGCGTATTGTATTTTAGATTTTCACTACAACGTACGCATTGTCATACTCTCTGCACGTATCCTTCATATCTATGTAAATGTTTCAATTTATTTTTAGTCTTTTCACTCTGCCATTGGTGGGAACAAAATGTTAATATTTATCATTAGGAGACAAGGATGGGAGTAATAACATGGTCATGAAATGTCAAGACATGAAAATTATCCAAAATCTTGATACTAGGGCATGATTATGCGTAGCTCCTCTTATATATGTATAATTGACTCAAACGAATATGCACATTTGTTTCTATTGATATATGAAACAACATTACTGAAACTGTTTCTAAGATAATTTTCTTTTGTTAAAAGAGACGCACCATACTCCATGCTATATATAAGTTTGAGGTGAATAGCACCTACAAATTTGAGTAATCAGAAATGGATACAAGTGTCATGTCCAAGTGTGGACGACACCCTACATATTTTAGAAAAAAATGAAATTTATGATATCATATTAGCATAAAAAGGTAAAATAATGATGTTCACATTCATAAGTTGAATGAATGATGTTCACAATGATACCATAACATATATAAACCTGAAAAACAGTACTTGTATATATACATACACACATATCTTCTTACAATAAAAGGAAGATACAAATTTAAAATAACAAAAGGAAAGGACAGAGCAGACTTCTAATTTTGATTAAGAAATTATAGGTCTCAAAGCCACAGGAGGGTGAGATAAAATGTAAAGAAAGCCCCCCCCCCCCCCCCCCACCCAAAACAAAACAAAAAAAACCCCATCCTCTTCTTCTCCCCTCCTCAATGAAGAAGACATTTTATGCAATAATATTATTTGTGACTCAGATGTTTTCTTGTTGCATCACATGGCAATATTTTAATTAGTCCATAAGAAATAAACAACTCTTCTTAGCAAAATTTTGGTTTTCACAGACCTTCCACCAGTGTTATCTATTTAAATAATAATCTGAGTTCGAAAATGTTACCTCTTGCCATAGTTGAAAGCATGTAGCATAATTATTGAATCTCAGGGAATGTCAGGGCAATAGGAAAGAAGGTAAGAAAGTGGGTGAGCAAGATATGGCTATGTCTAGTCTGTTTGCCATAGTAGAAAGTTGAAATGAGCTTGCACTCATTTTTTTTCCCTCCGTCCTACCATTTTTGCACTATATATCTCTAGCATATAAAAAACCCTCCGTAATGACAATTATAAAACTTGTATACATTTGTCTTTATCCCATAACCAATTACTCTCTTTGGTGATAACCCTTTTTTTAAAAGGAAAATGTGGGATCCAAAGAGCAACAAATGTAACACCCAAGTGATATCAAACAGTGTCAAGTTGAATATATGATAAAGGGAACTCTAGTATGTGATAATTCCTATGAATTCAAGAATTAATCATAGGTAGCATTTTTGAGAAAGGAGTCGTCGAAGAATTCTGTAGTTAAGCATTACTTGTGCAGAGTAACTTCAGGATGGGGCATAACCGTTAGATAGTGTTTTATTTTCAGTCCAACTCAAAACCATGTGATGCTTAGATTTTTGCTGATAACCGATAAAAATTGCAAAATGTTATCTCGACATGCGAAGATTACTGTATAACGCTGGGAGATTATCCATCAACTTGAGCTTTCGAATTTAGTGGACCCAGTAGTTAAGAGCTTAAGATGAATATCTTAACTTGGATAATTATCCATCCAGTCCCATTTGGTAAAAGACCGTTAAGATGCCAATGTAATAGAACAACTTACATTGGGCATTATATGGTCGCCCACTGGAATTAGCTGAAAAAAGGATTGAAAAATCTGGCAGTGCTAGCTGATGTGCAATGAAGTTAGAAGAATTTGGAAGAGTAAGTTGCGTATTTTACCAGAAATAGTCGCATTACACTGTTACAGTTGTTAGTTGTGACCTTCATGTATGAGATATACTAAACTGTAAGTTACGGACCTGTTTCTGAGGTTTATATGAGAGTTTTGCATTCAATCTATTATTTTCTTGTCTTTTAATCTTAAAGATCGATCCAGGATAATGTGGATGAGAGAAAAAAAATACTATGTTTCAAATTAAAGCTATGTACTGACTGATGTGGACGAAAGAAAAAAGATACTATGTTTCAAATTAAAGCTATGTACTGACTGATGTTCTCTTGATTTGCAGAGATGTTCAGGCGAGTAGCATTCTTCTTGATGATAAGTATGAAGTGCGGCTGGGTAGTTTGAGTGAGGTATGCGCACAAGAAGGTGAAGGTCACCAGAATGTCATCACCAGATTCTTGCGCTTGTCATCACAGTAAGTTTCCATATATGAAAATCTTTATTTGATCATTAGAATTGGTAGAACTAAAAAGCAAGCATATCATGTTATTTGTTTATTTTTTGTTTAATCTCACTGGTTCTTCACATGCATTTTTCTGTTCTTTAATCACTTTGCCTGTTTGTGCATGTGGACAGACATGCATGTACATGTTATAAATACAACATGGTTTATTCAAGTTGATTATTGCCTAACAAGTTACTGCATGGAAAGATATTTGCTTCTTGAATTATCTGCACCTATTATCATTGTTTTAAATATCCCCGACATGGCCCGATATATCCCCCGATATATCCTTTTACAGGGCTTGCCGCAACCGATATGGTCTTTAAATATCCTTTTTACTGTTTTTTGGCTATTTTGAGTGATAAATCCTCGATATGGTCGATATATTAGCCGATATGTGGACTAATATATCTTTTTATATAGCTTGTTGCAAAATAATATACCGTGTTTGGAATTTTTGGGCGAGATATCAAGAAATCCCTATTATATCAAATGACATTTTGCCCTAAAAAAAGCAGATTGAATGTTGCAACGTTGCTTTGCACTTTTGTTTATTTTAGAAGGTTGATTAGTGATCCTAAACATATATTATTCATATTTTGTATGCTTAAATTTCATTACATATGTTGAGATTACATTTTAATGCATTACACTATGTATGCAAACATTCGTTATGGCATTCCGATATTTACCACATATCCCCGATATTTCCCCGATATCCGCAATCCGATATGAATTTTGGCCATCCGATATTTCCCCGATATCCGATATTTAAAACCTTGCCTATTATTAAGCATTTGAGGGTTTTCATTACTTTATTGGGTAATTATTATGAAAGCCCCTTTAGGTTTGACAAGTTATTATGAAACCTCCTAATGTTATTTTTTCATTATAACACCCCCTGCTGTTAAAAAAAGATAAAACTTGTTTAACACCTACTTTTTCTATAAAATACCCCTCAATATAGCTTCTCTTCTTCCTCAAACTACTGCAAGACCTATCTCCCGTCCCTTCAAATCAAACCCAAGTAACAATAAACCATTAACAAAGAGAAAGTTAGTAGAAGATCAAGGTAATCTCTTCGACTCTTTGATTTTAGCGTCTATTTGGTGTAATTTTGGTTTCTAATCTATCTCTTGCCTCTGAAATAAAGGGAAAGTATGTTAAGAGGAAGAAGAAGAGGATAGTTTTGGAATTTAAATGAGTCTTAACAGTTTTTTTAACGGCATGGTGTTCTGTAATAAAAAAATTAATGTTAGGGGGTTTCAATAAACTGTCAAACCTGAAGGGCTTTCATAAGTATTATCCTACTATATTACATTGGTTAACTGATGGAACTTGAAGTGTTTTAGTAACAGCAAATTGAGGACAGGGACGATACATAAATTACTTAACTACTATTTCTTTTGCCATGACATGTACATTAATCTATTTTTTTTCTTTCTAATTTATGAATTTCGCCAAGTCAATAAGTCAATTAGTGGGTTTAAGGTGCAATTGGAGAGCGTATAGGAATTACAGCTTTTGTATTGTTTTCTTTTGATACACATCTGAATATGTTTATTGTGGGCATGCAAAAAACCCTATACCTTTTAGCTACAAATAAACTGAACCTGGACCAAATGCAAAAAATAACCAAACATTAATCGGGTGTTAAGTAGTAGGATTAAAGAATTTGGAGGAAGAAATAAGCTAATCTTTAACCACCCTTTTTTGACTTTTGACCACATCTTCCTATATCTTATGGCCTTTTGAGTAACTGATCCTAAATAGGAAAATGAGCATTTTATGCTTGTTCTTTCCCATAGTTTTGCTAAAGATCATTCCGTATTTCTGCTTGTTTTGCTAGTTCGAAACCCTTCTGAAAAGGAGCTTTAGACCTCCTCATTATCTATCTATGTTAGAAATTACCTATCTTCTTGTGTCATCAACTAATGCTATGTCATCATCAAACAACATGCACTAAAATTATTCATTCTGGGCATGCCTACTAAGTTTATGTACAACTTATGCAAAAGATAAGGATATAATATTGTCTGTAAGTCTATGGTAATAGGAAAAGGCAAGTTAAATGCTGTTTCTCATTTGAATGATATTATATATTCACTGATTTCATCATCACAAGTTCATTTTCCTATCACCCC